CAACATGTGTTCCATCCGCCGTGTCCACAGGGGAGCCCCGTGTGTGTGTTACCTTTGTTTACACCACTTTTCTAGGGGTTATGATTTAGGATTATGCAGAAATGGCATTTTCTGTACTCCCGGCTCCTTGAGGTGCTGTAAGGATGGAGTGGGACGAAAGAACCTAGTCCTTAGCTGTTCTGAGCTTAGAGTCTGCTGGAGAAATAACTGTGACACGAGCTTTTAAAAATGCTCTGTTGTGTTACAATGGACAGTGTCACGTACCCCGAGAACCTACGACAGGAGACAGGATGCATTCCAGAGATGCGGTTTTGAAGCTGGGGTGACTGGGGGTCAGCTAGGAACCAGGAGGAGCTGCTCCAGGCATGTGCAAAGGCCCTGAGGTGAGGAGGAGGGTGGTGCTTCATTCAGGGCATGAAATAAAGCTAGTCAGGTGCAACTGGAAAGTCCGCAGCCTGGGCTGCTCGGCAAAGGCCTGATGACTGCAGGAGAGTGTTGTGTTTTTTTTGTTAAGATTTTATTTGTTATTTGAGAGAGAGAGAAAGGGAGCATTCAAGCGGGGGAGGGGCAGAGGGAGAGGGAGAATCTCAAGCTGACTCCGTGCTGAGTGTGGAGCCCAGCATAGGGGCTCCATCCCACAACCCTGAGATCGTGACCTGAGCCGAAATCAAGAGTCAGATGCTTAACTGACTGAGCCACCCAGGCTCCCCAGGAGAGGGTTTTAACCCAGACCACGTTTTCCCTTCAGAGCTCAGACTTTTGTGCAGAGGGCCTGACCCCGCCACCAAGGCCACCCTGAGCTGACTGGTGGGAGGCCCGGGGCCCCAGCAACCTCGCATCCCGGTCCCAGCTCTGCCCTTTGTGGGGCTCCACCTCTCCCCCTCCAGCTGCTTCCGCTGTGAAGGGGCTGACTTCCCACAGGGCAGCCGGGATGGTGGCCATCGGACGGCCCCTGCTCTGCTGTCGGATCGTCTGGACCGAGATGTGGGTCAGGGGAGCCCATTAACGGGGAGCCGTTGCCTTGAGAGGTCCCGGGATGGAGCTGAGGCTGAGGCGTTCGGGGCTGGCGATCTGTGTGTCCCACAGAACGGCCGCAGGGCGGGGCCGACCGGCTCTGAGTGGGCCTCAGGATCAGACCCAGGCACCTCGCTGGCACGCTCAGGCCACTGGAGAGGCGGGACGTGGACCGTCAGACCTGGGTTGCCCTCCGCAGAACCGTTGGCGTATCTGAAAGTGTTTCGTGTGGTCTTGTCTGCCTGTGCTTCTCGACAGCCCAGGGAGTAAGGCGCTTGGAGCCCGCGAGAGCCGGGGGTGGCCTCTGTCCTGAGCCCGGGTCAGCGGTCCCGTGGGGCGCAGACCTCGGTCGTCGCCACCCCTGCCCACCCAGCTCCCTGCACTTTCCCCAGCAAACTGGTAAGAAGGGGACTAGACCGCATAGCGCCTGCACTTTTAGTCAGGTAGACACGCGGCCTCTGCTGGCCCGTGCCGCCGCACGCTGGGGCCCCGAAGAGGCTTTCTGCAGGGAAGGTCCAGCCGTCCACCCATCTGCCTCTCACTTGCGCTCCCCACCCCTGCAGGGTAAAACCTTCCTCTGAATTTCAGACTGTGATCTGGCTCTCCAGAGCTACGTGCCCATGACCGCTCCTTCATCCTGACGTCTCTGCTCCCGGGGCTGAAGCACTCTCTCCTGCTGGCCTTTATATAATGGAGAGATGAAAATCAGTTTATTTTTGTTCTGTGTCCTTCCCACGGGCTTTCCCAGCTGCGTTCTGTGACTCCAGGAGCAGCCAGGTGTTGGGCGTAGATGAGGAGCAGGGGGTGGAGGGCAGAGCCGTCCAGTGGCCCCTGTGGACATGGCTGGGGGCAACCAGCAGGCCTGGGCATGCCAGGACAGAGAGCAGGTGGCATGGCCCCTTGACCTTGGCATCCATCCCCGGCCCCCACCGCCCTTGCCCACCCTCCACGCCTGGGCTCTGGGTGACCATGTCCTCTCTTCGGCTCCTACTTGTCCATTGCCTTCCTCGTCCCTCACCAAGGACTCTTGGAGAGCCTTGCAAAGGGCTGCTGAGGGGAGGAGGGCTGGCCCAGAGAGGAAAGGCAGTGGTGGTGGGGGGCACAGTCCCCCAGCCAGTGCAGGTGGAGAGCAGGGTTGAGGGCAGGGGGCAGGAGAGGGCTGAGGGCGAGGGCAAGTCTGGGCCCCAGAGTGTGGGCCTGGCCCCAGCCCTGAGTTGAGGGGCCCCAGGCACGAGGTCTCCATCCCGTGTCTGTGATACCCGGGATGTGCACACAGCAGGCGAGGTCTGGGGTGGGCGGTCCAGGATCTCTCAGCAGACCCAATGAGGCCACTTGCCTGCTGCGCTGGCCCTGCCCACGCGTGGTCACCACCAGCAGGCCCATCCTTGGGGGTGGCTGTGGCGGGTACAGAACTGTGGTCACCGCGGACCCCAGGGGTCTCCAACGCTCGGCCACTGGGACCTGGAGGAGCCTCCTGTGAGCGCCACGTGCAGGGCCCCAAACCCCACCCAGAGGAAGGCATCTCCAAGGCGAAAGGCACATCTTTTATTTATTTAATCCAAACTGTTGTGTGAATTATTCATTCATGTTTACACAGGCCATTGAACAGCGGCGTAAGGGGTAGGTCAGGGCACCGACTTTGGTCCTGAATCACAGCCAGAACCCACGGCGGCCCCCTGAACTCGCTGCGTCAAGGCGCCGACCCCTGAGAGTCGCAGCCTCTCGCCTGACCCGCACCAGGCCTCCGGGTCAGAGGGGCCAGAGCCCTCTTTACACCTCCGATGGGCCGTGTGACCTTGAGGCCGCTCTGCCCCCCACTCTTGCCCATCAGAGGGGGACGTGGGACTCGCCTCGTGGTGTTGAGCGGCAGCGTGGGGTAAGGTGTGTGTGGTGTCTGGCACTGGGTGCCCCTCGCAGGGGGATGGCAGGTGGCCTGGCTCATCCACTCCTGACCCAAGCCGCATTTCCTTGTAGGAGTCCAGGAACTGTGGAAAGGGGCTCTTAACTCCTCCAAGGTCAGGCTGCGTTATTACCGAAATTTAATTTTTCCCAGCAGACACCTGAGATCCATTAAAGGCAGGGCAGCCTCTGACAGGGGTGAAATATCACCTCAGAACCTCGGTCTGAATTTTTCCTTGTGGAATGGGTTTTCCTCCCACTAGCAGGTCCGTCCTCGGTGGGCTGGCCGAGAGACGCAGGGAGGAGCGTGGGGTCAGAGCCACCAGGTACCCCTTTGATTTCGTAGTCTGATTACTCGATTAATCAAGGGCTCCGTGCCCGCGTCCTGAAGGAGAGGCTCTCCGCTCCAGAATAACAATGTCCACCAGGGCCAGTCGGAGCTGCGTGATGAATGGGGCGCAGGTGAGGGCAGGGCGTGTGGCCAAGTGGATGGACACGCATGGTGGAGAGGCCGGAGGGAGCCGTCCTCTGCTATCAGGAGGCCTCGTTCAGAGGGAGAACGCAGAGCTGCAGGCAGTGCAGACGAGACCCAGGATCTGTGTCCATAAGCCCGGCGCCATCCGGAGTGTGTGGGGGGCGGGGGGTTGTCGAGAGCTTGGCCCAGGACAGACGGCCCTCCCTGTGCCAGGCGCCCGCGGCCAAGCACTGAATCCCACCGGCCCTTGTTAGTAAAGCCGAGAACAGGCACCCTCCGCGTGGCCTTGCCGGAGCCTGTTGGTAGCTGCTGCGCCCCCACCGTCGGTGCTGTGGCCTGAACCCACACAGCGCTGTGACCCGTGCGACCTAGCTTGGTCCTCGTGACGCCCCTGGAGGCGGGTGCGTGCCTGACACACGCCCAGGGGCTGGGGACGCTGGGCTCGAGGCCGCAGGTCAGGACGGGCAGAGTGGCTGGAGGGTCTCCGGTGGGTTTCTTTCCCTGGAAGGCAGGCTCCCCGTCCCCTTCCCCTCCTCCAGGAAGTGACCCTGCCCACATCTGCTCATGTGAAGCTCGCTGACGTGACCTCCTGCTCTCAGCCCCGCCAGGGCGCTGGTGGTGGGCGGGCCTGGGCTTTGGCCTGAGGACGAGGGGCTGCGGTCACTGTCACGGTGGGCGGGGCTCCAAGCCGGGCTGACTGGCTCCAGGGCCGGGGGCTTTCCCACCACCCCATCGGCCAGCCGGGCTCCCGTCCTGCCCAGGGCACCGCCGTCGTCAGCTCCAGACAGGACCACCGGGGGCTCCTGGCTTCAGAGGCGGCACTTGTGTTTGAGGAAAGCCAGCCTAGCTAATTACTGGGGGGATAACCGAGGTTTAATTACCTTGGGTGAAGCATCCGTGGTAATTGCTGTGTAGCCTGCTGATGGCTTTGCACTTGGCACGGCTGGTTTCTCCCGTACAACCATAAACTGTGCGGGAGTGACGGGCGGGCCTGGGGGCGGATGGGACCCGGGGGCCTGTCTTCACCTGGTGACCTTGTCTCCGGAACATGATCAGGCACCTCTAGGGCATGTCCTCTCAAAGCCCCCCGTCCGCTCCGCGCTTCTCCATGCTGGCCCATGCGGGTGGGCATCCGGCCCCCCCGCAGGAACCCGGCTGCAGCCGTGCGAGGGGACCCAGGACCGGCGTCCCCAGTCGGTGACTGAAGTCTGCGGCCGGAGGGCCGGTGCACACACCCACACGTCCCGACCTGGGACGACTTCCGTGTTGCCCCTGTTGTCCCTCAGAAGCAGACCGGGCTGGGCGGGGGTGGAATCCGGGGCTCAGAGCCGGGAAGATGTCTGGCTTCTGGAGTCGCTGCTCTCCGTGGAGTTACTGTTTATAGTTGAGGAACTTCATCACCACAAGTGCGGCTGCTTATCGGCTTGTTCTCTTCGTTCCGGACTGAGTGCCCACGTCAGGGCTTGCTGACGCAGGTGGCCTGTCCATGCCGGGCAGGACCCCGTCTCCTCCTCGACTCTCGGCCCGGTGATTCTGACCGGGGCCCCCTGCTGCCCCCCCGAGCCCCCCTTCTCCAGCTTGCAGGCTCACCCCCTCTCCTCTCCCCCCTCAGAGCTGAGGAAGCAGGTGGAGAGCGCTGAGCTGAAGAACCAGCGGCTCAAGGAGGTCTTTCAGACCAAGATCCAGGAGTTCCGGAAAGTCTGCTATGCGCTCACGGGCTACCAGATCGACATTACCACGGAGAACCAGTACCGGCTGACGTCCATGTACGCGGAGCACAAAGCCGACTGCCTCATCTTCAAGGTAGGCCCTGCCGTGACCCGCCGTGCGCGCTGCTGGGAGCAGCCTCGCCTCAGGCAGGCATGGTCCGTGGGGCTGGGAGGGGGCGAGTCTGCTGGCCCTCGGCCACCCGCAGCTCTGCCCTGCAGCCTGGGGCCTCTTGCAGGAAGCCCCAGGCCCCGATCTGGCCGCCTCCGGCTCTCTGCCGTCCCCCTGTTGCTACACTGGTCCCGTTGCTGGGAGGGGCAGGGCAGCGAGGGCCCGGGCATCCTGCACCAGCCGCGCTCCGGGGACGGCTGAAGTAATAGGCTGAGGGTCTGTGTTGGGCCAGGGAGACGGCCTCGGGACTGGGCCGTGGCCAAGGTCAGTGTGCCGCACCGCAGAGGGATGGGAGAGGGACGCTGCTCGACCTCTATGGGACGCACCCTCCGGCTTGCTGGCGAGGCCAGGGCTGGGACCCCAGGCACACGGGGGGGCAGGTACTGCGCGGCCTGTGTTGGCCCCAGGCTCTCTCTGGAGATGCTGCTGGGGCACCGTGCCTGCGGGGTGGGGGCTCCCACGGAGGAGCTGTGCCCGTGTGGAGGCCTGAGGTGTCCTCCGGGTTTCAGGACTGGGGCGCTCACCAGGAATGAAGCACCTGCCTGTGAGGGGCGAGCGGGTCCCAGCAGCTGGGGGCTTACTGCGTCACTGGGGGGGCCTGGGGAGGCTGCCTGCCCGAGCTGGAATCTGGGTGAAAAGGGCTGGCCCCACCACCGCCCCACTGGCCTGACCTCCTGACCCGCCCTGCCGTGAAGACAGTGCCGTGGGCCCGGCAGGGTGTGGCGGGCGAGGCCACGGGAGGCCAGGGTCGGCAGAGAGGCCGCCACTTCGCATTGCCACGGTGTGGAGTGGGCCACCCACCTGTCACTGCCCCGATCTGTAGAAACAGCCTGCTTTTCCTTTTCTTATATAAGAAGGGACTAGCCTATGTGTTGTACACGCTTCAAGCAGAATTCAGTAGCAAATGAGATCCTTTCTGTCTCATTTCGTCGTGCGCTTCCTGGTGAACCCATGACCAGCCAGCCGCTTGCTGGTGAAGGTGCTGGCTGTGCCCAGAGGCGCCAGGCCTCAGGCTCAGGGAGGAGCCACCTCGGAGGCCGGCACCCAACCCCGACCTCCCTCCTGGCCTCCTTCCTTCCTGGCGGCCTCTCCTTCTCCTCCTGACGTCAGAGCTGCACCTCAGCCTGGCGTCTGCCCCCCAGCATCTCCCAACGTTTGCTCCCAACTCCCCTGCCTTCTTGGGTCACGTGTATCTGTTTTTACGTTTCTCAAAACCCCTCATTCGAATAAGTGAAGCGCTCGAACACGTAAAGTCTCTACGTAAACTGTAAGGAACATACTTCTTGACTCCTGTTCACGTGATTCCCTGTGCCTTGGAAGAACTTAGCGTGGCTGATCGCTGTTCCATACCTTGTAGAAATCCCACGGGTGTTTAAACATTAAGTACATTAACAAAGGTGTACAATTCTTACAAGCCCCATTCGCTCTGACAGCCACTGCACAGTGGAGACAGGCCGAGGTCACTGTCAGACCCCCATGCCCTCTGCTGTCCCCCCAGACCCTCTGCCATCCCCCCCACCTCCCGATGCCCGGCTGTCCCTCCCCACCTTCAGCTGTCCCCCTGCCCCAGGCCTGGCTGTGCTCAGCAACCCCCCAGCCCGGGCACGTGCACCGTGGCCGCAGCCCTGGCCGGGACCGGTGCAGGAGCTGCTTGCCGGGCTGTGGGCGAGTGCAGAGCCTTTCCGTGGCTTTGCAGAGTCCTGGAAGCATGGGCTCCCGGTCGCTGCACCCAGCCCTCCGGGCCCCTCCTCCTCCGCCCCAGGCCCAGGCGTTAAGCCAGCCCGGAGCACCGGGTCCAGGGAGAGCTGGCCGGAAGCAGGAGCCGTTTCTCTCATTTGTCCGTGGAAATCTCGGGGGTGGTAACATGTAATGGGCCGGCGAGTTCCGTGTCCTTGTCCAGCCTCACCGGCCTCTCCACAGAGCAGGGGACCCGGGCACAGGACAGGGCGGTCCCTGACCGCTCGGTGGGGTCATCCCCACCTGGATTCTGCTCTCGGCGTTCCCCAGATGCCCTGGTGGCACTCTGGAAGACAGCCACAGGCCAGGCAGCTGCAGCTCTGCTGGATGGCGTGAGAGACCGCGACCGGACCACTGGGTCAGGGTCTCCTTCGGCAAGCACTGACGCTCTGAGGCCTCCGGGATGGGAGGGAAGAGGGGTTCCGTCCCAGGAACCAGAGCCTGGGAGCGTGCGTGTGCGCACGTGAGGGTGGACATCTGCGTGTGATAGGCGCACGCGCAGGCCCACCCCTGCCCAGACCCCCAGCAGGGCGTCGGGGTGCAGTCTTCTCGGGCTTCTCACGGGGCCCTGCTGGTCGGGACCCAGCCCAGCGCCTTGTGGACGGCTCTGGACAGGTGGCTGCCTGCCTCCCTGTCCCTTGGTTCCCTGGGAGCCCAGCTTTGCCGAGGACACTGGCGGTTTTCTTGTCGTCTGCAGTCACATCACCCTGTGGTGCCTAGTGCTGTGTGGGCATGAACGGGTGAGGGTGTTGCCTTTCTTATCCTGGCTCTTTAGGAGGGACTGGAAGCTGCATGGGGTAAAACGAGGGACAGGGATCTGGAGCCGGCTGGGGGCCCCAGGCATACCCTTGCTGCCCCCAGCTTGCGTCTCTCCCTTCAGGGTGAGGCTTTAAGTCCCCAGGATTCTGGCGTGGGCTCTGGTCCTGCCACCTGCGCCCCGGGCCCAACATTGGACCCCTTTGTGGGTCCCCCTGAGGGGCCTTCCCCTCCGTTCTGCGGGTGAAGCCCACCACGCCCGGCCCAGCCAGTGCCCCCGTCCTCCACGGGACACGAACCTGCCTCCTGGGCTCCCTGACATGGCAGTGGGGACCTGCCGGCCTCAGTCCCCCCCCACACCCCCAGGGCCACCCCAGCTGCTCCCTCCCTGTGCACATCTCGCGGGGCCTTTCTCGGAGCTCAGGGGCCACCCCGCGGGAGGGGTCGGGTGAGGGGTCCGTCCTGTCGTCTGGCTCAGCCTTCCGTCCACAGACACACTCCCCACCTCCTGAGGTGCGGTCAGAGCCCCGCGATGCCGGGCCCCCGGCACCAGCTGCCCCACTCCGGGCAGTGCTGGGCAGGGCCCCGAGGAGGCGCCTGGTGCTTGCGTGCTGCGAGGCCCCGGCTCCCTGTGCATCTCCAGCGGCAGAAAGTGCTGGGCTGCAGGGAGCAGCTTGCCCCGAAGCATGGCGGTCTCTGCAGACTCTGCGGACGTGTGTGCATGCGGTCCTTGCTCAGCCAAAGTCCTCTCAGACGCTGACAACACTGAGCCCCTGAGCTTCTCCTGGGCCCTCGGGGGTCCCAAAGAAGGCATGGCTGGAGCTGCCAAGCCTGTCAGGACGTCTCTAACCCGGGACTGAAGGTGTCACCTTTGCTTACTCTTCGGTGACGGGAGGCGCTGTCCCACCCTGTCCACTGCCCACCTGCCTGCACGGGGCCGGGCACGTGCAGGGTGCTCGCGGAGGACAGACAGATAGGGGAGAAAGAGCAAGAAGCTAAGTAGAAGGCAGACCGACCCTCGGCAGACATTCACTGCCTGACCTGAGAGGAGACACGAGGGGCCCAGGAGCCGTCCCACCCTTGGCTGGGTCACTGCACCCTGTGGGACTCAATTTCCCCACTCACAGTGGCGAGCTTGGTCTGGATGCGCCCTGGGGTCAGAAGCCTTCGTTGGGGCAGCAAGGGAGGCTTCCCTGTGGGCTGGCGGTCCTGAGTGGGGGAGGCCGCCGGACAGAGACCGGCCCGAGAGACGGGGTGACCCACCAGCCCCCACGCGGTGTTGGGACCCTGCCGCCTGGGGGCTGACGGCGAACTCGCACGGTGGCGGTGGAATCAGGCTGGAAGGGGATCACAGTGAACCGTAGCCTCCTGCCCCCTTTGGTTGATTTTATTTTCCCAACGATGATTTTCCAGGCAGGAAGGGGGCCCAAGGCAGAGTTAGAAATAGCTGAGCACTGTTCCAGTTGAGCGGGCTCTGCAGATGTGCGCCGGCATCATGGAGGGTTTGGGCTCACCCCACGCGCTCTGCGCGAGGAGAAGACACGGCGCCCAGCGGCCCGGCCGTGGCTGCCACGTGGGTGGGAGCTGCCTGCCCCGGGGGCCCGCCGCTCCGAGGACGGCAGGAACTCTGGCCAGGCCGGGCCCAGGAGGGGCCTGGCTGCCCTCCATCCCCCCACCCCGCCCGGCGAGAACGGGGTCCCCTGCGCTCTCACTAGTGCAGATGCCTGGGAGTTCCCAGGACCACCCGCAGCCCTGGTTTCCGCGGCCCGTCGTGCTGTCTGGCCGTGGTTCCCGAGCTCTCCTGCCCCCGTCCTGCAAGAAGGCCCTGATGGTAAGGACGACGGGTGGGTCCCGTGCCAGCGCCCCTTGGGACAGGCTGTGGACGGGGTTGCTGCAGGACACCATGGTGTCCTCCCGGCCCGGCCCTGGGACGGCTCGGGGGCAGCGGGCAAGGCGGGACGCGGCTTCCGGCCTCGGCAGAGCGGCTCGCGTGCGGCGTAGCCATGCCTGTGTCTCCCCTGTGGCCCCTGGGTCTCCGGGCTGTCCGGGGCACTGGTGGGGGCTGTGTGTGGACTGTGACGCTGTGTGCGCACCCCGTGCGGGCCGGAACCCAGAAGCTCCAGGGCCAGCGAGGACTGCAGGAGCCTGCCAGGTGCCGACCCTCTGCAGCATGCTGCTCCTTGGGGTGTGGGCAGCACCCCGTAGCCCCCCCACTTGCTTGTGTGGATTCAGGTGCCCCCGGAGAAGTCTGGCTCGTGTGGGGATGTCACTCCCCTCTGGGCTCTGCCGCTGGGGACTTGGAGGCACGTTGGTGCCAGCCCGTTCCCCAAGCCTTGCCCCTGCCCTCCGCTAACCAGCGTTCAGGAACGAGACTTCTTCCCCGCTCAGGCGCGGCCTCCCTGAGAAGCAGGACCTGCCTGGGCTCCTCCAGG